CCCCAAAACCCCAAAACCCCAAAACCCCAAAACCCCTCTGATCACCTAGTGTTAAAAATATTTTGGTGCTAATAAATGAACCTGTCCTTGTTACTGAGCTTAAAATTAACCTCAAATAGCAGGAGAATACCTTTGAACAGAAACAAAGTATGAGCATTATCAATAAATTAAGCTATCATAACAATGTATGGTCAGGAAACATAAATTAAAGAGATACAATGTTGAGTGCAAAGATGATCACACTTTCACTAAATTTGGGTGAGCTATCAACTAGTTTGACAGCAACTACTTGCCTCCTGATCAATACCAGGTTCCGTTCTAGCTGGTGATTTTCTTAGCTGACTGGTTAGCACTCATTATGCTTACATAATATTAACCAAAAGAACTGTGTAATGATACTGAAGGCAAGCTTTAAATTCCTGAACTAGATATCATTAAACCAGATTAGAGGTAAATCCTAATTAATAGTAACAAAATTCTCGAATGAACTCTCGGCCAATGATCTCGGTCGAGACCAAAGCAAAATCAAAAAGTACTGTGTCATGTTTTCTCAAGGTATATGGAATTTCGAGGGAAATTTTGATAAGAATGTACACCACAAAGTAGACCAGAAAACCCATTATTAACATCAATAATTCTACTTGTGAGGGAGGTGTTGGCTCTATTATTATGAAGCTAAAAACAACTCTTAGAGCCGAATCCAGGGGAAAAGAGGATAGTCGTACCGTCCTAAAAGTACACTTTAGTAGTATAGATCAGGGAAATTCTGTCAACAAGTTCTTTAAGATCAACCTCAGTGAGGAAAATACTATTTAATAATTTCAATAAGTATAAAGATAAGCACTAGGATGTGGTTCAGTCCACTTTGACTGAGTTCTTCCAAAAATTACTAAGAAGAGACTAATAGATATCCAATACTCTCTCATTGTTGAATTGATAATAGTATGAGCATATTATGTCGGAAAACTGAAAATAGAAGCTAATGTGCACCTATAAATTCTTTACTGTAAGTTGTTCTGAATCCCAACAAACCCAATCAATTGATATTGTCAGATGTATGATCAATATCAGTTGAATCTATCAGATCAGAATCTACCCCTTCTTTGCAGATCGAAAGCCCTAAACTAACAATTTCTGAGTGCTAAAGAGAGCTTTTATGTAACTGAAAACAATATATCTTATAGCTCAGACTCTGTACCTGTTCCAAGCAAAGAGGATGCTCTTTCAGGGTCAAAGGTGCAGTCATCTGTCATTGTTTCTATTAAGAATATTCTGCAAAGCAATGCTTCTTATTAGAAAATTCAGTCACAATGTAGATCTCTCCTCAGCTCCTAAAAATCCCCAATAGTTTGGCAAACCATTAGATTTCAGTTCAATGTTGCACCTAAATATTGGGGTTTTGGGGTTTTGGGGTTTTGGGG